AATTTTTTTAATTTTCGACTACTCCTTGATATCACCTTTGATTACATACTGGTTTTTGATACAATCGAATGGTAATTACTGCATTTGTTTAATAGTCATTTAAGTATTATAGTTCCGTTGTTTTCTGCGGAAGCCCGTTTGGATATTGACCCTGACTACGAGTTGATCCTGTTTTTTTTACTTTTACTTAAATGGATTTAAGTTTAAATGTTTTCGTTCCATATCCATTATTGTATTTCTTTAGATTGTAAAGACCATAACAATGGTCTCTTAGTCTGCCTTGTTTTCTCCCCTTTAGGCACCTAAGTATTCTCTTTTCTCTATTCGGTTTGCTATTACTACATTTCCCTTTCTCTTCATTTTGGCTAGTGTAAAAAAACCGTTATTCACCCTGGCCCACCACAATTTTACCTGAGCCTACATTGTGCTCATCTCGTGGTAATTCCATTACATTTTAATAATTAATAATAATAATGTTGTTATGGAAGAGCGGGCATCTCAAGCGCTTCTTATTAGTGTTGCGCTAGAAATTGGCGGAAGTAGGAGTTTGAGTGGTATTCTGTTTCAATAAGAAAAATAAGGAAGAGAAGTAGCGGTTCACCTCGCCATGGGAAAAGAGCGTGTACGTTTCTGTACGCTAATTTTTTCAAGAAAATTGCCTCTTTGGATATTTGAAGACGTAGTTTCGTCGCAATCAGAATAATTGGTGCTGTAGCTGTAGTTAAGTTAAAGTTCGTGCAAAATTTAATGCGGTTTGTCCGTTTTCGGAAGAAAGTTACGTTGATTTTGCAAAATCAGTTTGTAGCGCAAGACGACACCCTGTTCGAAGGTTCTTTTGTATAATAAAAGTTAAAGTGTTTTCCCGTTTGAACAGCGATCGCATTAAAAATTAGTAATGGTGTTAATTAAGCCAGTTTGTGTTATCATTGTTTCAATGGAATAATAAAAAAATGACTCGAGTGTTCTTCTGTAAGTGTTACGTGCGCCTGAATCTCGCAAAACCGTTGTTTTGGCGAGATTAAGTGCATTTGTAAGAGGAAACTAAACAATTTTAAGACTTTCTTTGTTTATTTGTCTCCCAACTGCGTGTGGTGTAAATGTGCCCCCCAACCCCTTATTTCAGGTTGTTTAGTGATTAATTATTGCGTATGTATTTCGAAATACATTGTTTGTCATTGTAAAATATTTAATTGTGTGTTTATTTGAATCCACGGTACGGCCCAGATAGAGTTCTCATGTTCAAATTTTTTTGTATTTGTGCCCAAGATTTATCTCAAAAAATCTATGTAATTGATTCCTTTGGAATTTTAGGAAGTTGATCGAGGCTACTGGATCTTCATATTAGGATTTTGCTTTGCGGCGAATATCGGAGGTGTACGAGGAGAGATCATAAAAATTCGAAGTATCAATGTTTGATTTATTTGACTTAGCTGGACAGGTGGTTTATTTACCACCTTCACATTTTGTCGGTGTAAAAAATGAATGTGTGGTTTACACGTTGTAATGAACCAAGGTCAAATACCGGTTACGGTACCAAAATTCTGTAATAACCCAGGACCAGCCGAAAAGCGACTGCGAAACTCAAAACCAAAATTCAAAACTCCCGCCTTCAGAATCGGTCAACATAAATAAAACTCGAGAAATAGAGAGGAGGGGGTAGAGAGTGAAATTTAATTAATTAATTACAAAATAAATCAAATCCAAATTCAAATCAGGGTTGCCCTCTCTTAACCACACGAGAATAACTCTAGGGACTTCATTGATTCCAACGAAACCTTCCGGGATATTGCGTACATTCTCACTTCTTTTCCAACCTGCATTTTACAATGTGACATTATAGTACTCTTCAACCCGTACGACAACATCGAGGAATTTTATCTCCTTCATAATCGGGACTTTACACCGATAATTAAAATATTGTACCACTATCTTTCACGAAAATGAGTGTATTTATTAGGACTGTTCACACCAAAGGCTCACAGTTGAAGAAATATGGGTAGATGCGCCTGCCATTTTGGACAGGACACAAACCTGTCTCATATAACACAGGAGTATACCTACTATTTGCATGCAAAGTAGGGTTTCGAGACTCATTCCATTACAGTATTCCAATACCATAAAAAATTCAAGAGTCATGAAAAATAATTACATTTGGCATTTATGCAATATAAGATGGTGCAAATAAATTGAACCGATATATTACGCCCCTGCATAAAGCAAACAAAAACCTCCGACCCATCGTACAAGCCGATGATAAACATCGTAACTTTTAATAATAATAATAATTTATTTCAGACTTCTAAACAGTTACAGAAACTGGTACCGAAACTTTAAAGCTAAAATTATACAAAAGAAGATTATCAATAACAAGATTGTTGTTAAAATATAAAATACATGCGGAAAGCGGATACCATGAATTAAATAACCACCCTGTATATTAATCTCAAATGAATGCCATTCACATTTATGGAAACTGTCACTTTAACTAACTACAGTATGCCTTAACTTGTATTAACACCCTGTACTAATCTTCAACCTTCCCTTAACAAATAGTAAAATCCACGGGTCCGTTAACTTGGCCCCCCACTGAGAGATTTGATAGTCGTATTATTTTGAAATAAATGCGCTCGTTATGCGCTCATATGCGCCACCGATAATAACTCTTGCGCCATTATCGTTTTTTAGAAATCCGAAAAAACATTTGGGGGGGCCAAGTGAACGTAGCCCCCCCCCCAGTACGTATTTTGTCTCTTGTAACTAGGTCACCTGATACATTTTGTTATGAGCTCAATTGCGCCACTTGAATTAAAGCTAGCGCCTTTACGGTTAAGCCGTGACAAATTTTCAAAAAGTGGGGGGGCCAACTTAACGTTTTTAAAAGTTACTTTTTTCAACATCTTTTCATACGACATTGTACTCTCAGGTATGCGCTGAAATGCGCCGTAAAAAGATATCTTTGCGCCATTATTGTTTTTTGGATATCCTTAAATATATTTGGGGGGGGGGCCAAGTGAACGGAATCCCCCATAACGCATTTTGCTACCGGTATTTGTGCCACTTGATACATCTGGTTATGAGCTCAATTGCGCCACTTGAATTAAAGCTAGCGCCATTACGGTTAAGCCATAAAAAATTTTTTAAAAAGTGGAGGGTCTAACTTAGCGTTTTCAAAAGTTATTTCCGGAAGTGCGTCCATTTTGAAAATATTTTACATCGATTCGGCCTTCGGAGTAACTCCTAAATACAAATTTTTAAAAACCTACCTATTTTATTTTCCCAGAATCGTTTAACTAAAGCTCCCAAAAAAAACACCCTGTATAGTGTTTCTGAAACACTATAATGGCGCCAAGATTTTTGTTTACGGCGCATTTTAGCGCATGATGAAAGGTACGATGTAGTAGAAAAAACGTAACTTTTGAATTTTTAAAACGTAATTGAAGCAACATTCGCAATGAAACACGTACATGAGAAAACATTACGTATGTGCTATCTATAACAAATAAACAAAGCTAAATACGACCCTTAATTTTTAACCTATTTTTTTTAATAAAGTGGTAAAGAATTTTCATGTACTCTCCAACCAGATACCTATTTTTTTTATCTTAAATTTACAACTATAATAAATTTATGATTTTCTTTAGGCGATCGATTTCGATAAATTTTCATCTTCGGGCTGTAGCTAAAATTATTAAATTAAATAGTGTGTTTAAAATGTTACATTAATTACCGTCAAGGAGTTAACAGATAAAATTTTGAAGTTGGCACATTACAAATTAAGAAATATTTCGGATGAAGAATAAATAATGAAAAGTATCAATATATGGAACCTGTAAATAACAAAGTAAGTAAATTATAGGTATACGTAAATTAATTACCATTAATTACCGTCAAGGAGTTAACAGATAAAATTTTGAAGCTGGCATTTTTTATTTTTTTTAACCTGCGCAATTTTTTATAAGGAGCAACAAACTATTTCTTCCAAAATCTCATTGTCTTCCGAGTTTACCTATTACCTTCTACATTGTCTTACTTTTTTTATACAAGACATATAAACCAAAAGAAAATGTTATATGTCCTGTTAACATTTTAGGGGTTGTGACCAAGAGGTGTAGAAGTAATGAGTGGGTTTATTGAACGAAAGATCATGCATCCTAGCAGATTTTAAAATGCACATGCAAATGTGTCACTTTGTAGTTTGTCGTTGCAAGGAATGAACTTTATTTGGTGGAGACTTTTATATTACATACAATGTAATTCCAAAATAGTCCCCAAAGCACCGTACCAACTCCATGTCGTTATTGTACTGTTGGTAGTTGGTGAGTTGATTTTTTTTTACATTTGAGCGTGTTAGTTTCGACAAAAGCGTCACGCTTGAGTAAGTGCGAAAATGTAGTTAAACTTGAAAATTGAATGCCACTGTTTTCAGAAATAGGGCAGAAACTGCATTTTGCGTTCAGCGTAAATTGCTTTTACAAATAATGATGAGAGTTTAATGTTCCTGGTCTAAATAACTTCGTCACATGGCAGCAAGGCCAGAGAGCTTAATTTCTGTACGGACAAATGGAAACGAAATATCTATTACCGGTCCAGTGATGTGATGAGCTTTATTAAAGGGCTTAGATTGGCAGCGTAGAGACCGGCTTATATAACATGACATGCCACTATGAGTTAAATTACCCTCATATAACTCTGTTTCCCAACATGAAAAACGGCATTAACTAAATCCAGTTTTTTAAGTGAAAGTTTAGTACGACTGACGCTCGTCAGCTTTCTCATACGTAAGCGTATTTGCTGGTTAAGCTCTTCGTAATTCCGTATTTGTGTTTCAGTAAAAATTTGCATGAATGAAACGCGTGGCGTATAATGCTTTTTGTCGGCGATAGGTACGAAGATTAGCATCACGTCTCTGAGAAAGATTCCCCGCAAAAAAGTTAACATGAAATTGTTTTTAATGTACAGAAAGCTACCTTTTGATTATATCTTAAGTACTTTAATCTTACGTGTGCACGCATAAAATCACAGCACTTAAAAAAGTTCAACACAAACACTACACTCTACAATACGCTAGAGTGCTATTACTTAGGGTAACATCACGTTATACATGATGCAAGCGCACTGAGCTTTTAAATGGAGCTTTCGGAAAAGCTCCCACGTGCACAGAAACCCGCGCACTGCAAAAACTAACAACCCCGCCCTACACCACCAACACAAGTATTGTGTTAAATTATCCTTTGATGGCTTATTCAACGATACACGTCCCATCTCTATTATACCATCATTAATTTTTGCGAATTACTTTGGTCGATCTTCTGGGGGGTGAATCCCGACGAAACTAGTATACGTTTTACAGTTGTTTTAATTCAATTACCGTTTAGAGTTAAAGATCGTCGCTAAAAACTGAAACGCGCCTTAAAAGGGTTCGGTAATTTAATTTCCAACTTACAGAAAACATTGAACAGACACCGTACACTTTAATTTTATTAACACTTTCGCGCAATTACAGCAAAAGTTTCGTCGGGAAATCGAATAGTTGTGACATTTAAAAAACTTACCTTTTAAAGAAATTTTATTCCGCTCGAAGTTTGGGAAGCGATGATAATGACCTTTGACAATTACGAGTTGATGTAATTGGGCAAAAAGTGATGCTTATCTTCTATGTGATATATATTTGTTATGTAATGCGGTGATTAATGGTCTACATTCTACAATATATATGTACCGTGCAAAAAGTTTATATCTTTTTTAAGGGAAATAAGAAGAGAAATGCTCTCGTTATAAGTTTTATCGGGGATGGTATTTTTTATTATAGATTTTTGTCGGGCCATTATTGGAAGAGAATGTAAGTAATCATGATTGTTGGAAAACATAAGTGAATATGTCAACTGACGTGTTAACGATTTTATGTAATTGCAAATGACGCTTCATATAATATTGTGTATTCGTATTTCTTTAATTAATTATTAAAAATTTACTTATCCTAGAATAAGAATGGCTTTCTTTGTTTATGCTGTTCAGGAGATAATTTAATTTAATTTAATGCCCAACAAATAAATCCAATTATTTGACAACTAATTTTTATATATACCTATAGCAAATATATATCTTCATAATGTACAAATATATAAATGTAAATATAAATAGCACACAATAAACATTACTAATATACGCAACTTCTAAACAAAAATCAAAATCTAGCATGTAATACCCTTAAAATCTCACTCCAAGAACAGTGGTTGACATCGATCTCAATACAAAAATCATTAAAGGCATTACACAGTGCATCTACTGGCGATAACAACATAACATTTGTATTCCTTTTAGATATCTAAAAAGTTCAAGGAATAGTCTTGAAAGGAACGCGTGGCACATGCCAGCATAGGTTGTAGGACAATTTGCACCCGAATAATTCGCACCCGGACATTTCGCACCCGGACATTTCGCACCCGGACAATTCGCACCCGGACATTTCGCACCAAGGAAAATTCGCACCAAAGATATTTCACACCCGGACGTTTCGCTCCCGGATATTTCGCACCAGGACAATTCGCACCAAAGATATTTCGCACCCGGACAATTCGCTCCCGGACAATTCACACCCGGATAATTCGCACCGGAATAATTCGCACCAGAATTTCGCTCCCCTGAGAGGGTATTATGTATGGTTGACTTTTAACATAGAAAGTCGGCTGTGAGGTATTAAATTAACTCAGAGCTTGAAATCTCCAATATTACTCACCAATATCACGTTTTATTACTTTGTGCATGTAATAGACGTATACCTACATTTAAAATTTGGATACTTTCAATATTAAGGTATAATTTGGAATCGTGACGTCCATTTTGTGTTCAAACTCTAAATGGGATAATTTATTAATATTGAATAAAAGTTCTCTAAACCGTTCCCATATAATTTAATAAAACGAAGTGATACACTACATGTTTCGACCAACGGGCATCTTCAGGTGATCTACAAGATGGTAGAGATCATTGAGGAGAGACTATAGCTATAAAACTTACAATATATATGGAAAACAATTAAAAACCCAAAAGGGCAGTAAAACTGGAAAGCCCAACGACCATATCCGTGGTTGGTTCCAGAGTAAAATTGAAAGTTGAAGAGGTTGATAAACTAAATTTTTTGCAAGGGAGGCCCGAACCTAAAAACTAACATTAGACGACGGTATAAGCAACGATGAAACTTACGTATAAAAAAGTCAAAAGGTCAAGAGACGATATCCTAACTAATAAAATACCCAATTAAGGGCTTTGAAACTGGAAACCATCTGCACTTCCAAAATCAGTGCTCGGTTTAGCTAATCTTACCTTGTCATCGTTGACCCAGATCCTGGCATTGGATGTTAAACTAAGAGCCGATGGATCCTTCTTTGCTCTTCTCGCTCGACACAGCCATGATGAGCAGTTTTGGAGTTTAAGGTTCTTAGCAAAGAGGTACATGTATCCTTCATAGATTATGTATCTCTTTTCTTTCCCCTTCTCATTGTACCGAACTCCATTGTTACGCGCCCCGTATAGTTTGCACCGCCTAAATCTCATATACATTATCAACTTTTTGTAACAAATCAAATTTCAACTTTTATCCTCAGGGACATGTCCATTTTTGATGATATTTTCCTTGATTTTGGCATTTTAATGTGGCACTTAAATATTTATGTTGGTTAAACAATAGCCATACAATTTGTAGAGGAATAATTTTTTTAATAATAGTATTTATGAGGCAAGAATTCATACGTACAATCCTATGTACCTTTTTAAACACTTGCTAAAGGTACCATAAATGAAAATTTATTAAAAAAAAAAAAAAATAAATAAAAGGTAAAAAGACACTCATCTGTGATGTAAATTGTCCATGCACTCATGTTCACAAGTAGACGAATGCTGCTAAACGCTGGTATCGGTCTATCAGCAAAACTGTCACCTGACATTTCTTAAACCTATTTACTACCCAGTTTTATTGTACCAATTCACAATCAAGGTTTTTTTCATTTGGAAACCTTTTAGCACGTACAAATAATATTGCAATAGGAATATAAAAGTCTAAATAAAATTTTAACAATTATTATTTGTTAATAGCTGCAAGTTAAGTTTCCTAGTTCTCTAACCTTCGATGTCGTCCATTTAAAGGACACATAACGAATTACGTATGTATTGTCTTAAAAGAATCTCAAGTAAATTATAATCATATTTGAACGTAAAACAAATAGATTCTTGAGAGTTTCCGTAAAATTAAAGAGATAAGAACTGTAAAGTAACGAAAAAAGCAAAAAATGTTGATAAATATCGTGAAAAAAATTGATCTTACTATAAATTATATGGCTATTATTTAAATAATATACTGAAATTGTGAAGATCCATGACTCAGTGGGGTGCTTAAGAAGCTTCGGAGAAATAACACCAAAATCTAGCCATTTATTATTATAACAATTTTTATGCGGAGATTTTGGTGTTATTTCTCCGAAGCTAAATAATATACGGCGGTGCATTAGAAACCATACCTACATAGCTATTTCTGTAAATTAAAATAATTTTCAAAAAACGCTTTGGCACGTCAAATTGATCATGGAAGTAAACAGTGTCTACAATAAAACTTGCTCACTAATGTCTTTGTCTCGCATCGCTGACAGTGCAACCCTTAAAATCTTAAATGATGCATAGTTGGTAAGGTCGCCCATCTCTGAATTCGGATATGTAATTTTTTTGTTTTAGTTGTTTCATTTCCAGCGCATTCGCCGTTGCAGGTACAAGTTTTCTCTTTTTTATACCACTTGCAACTGCATAATTTTGACGCACGATCGAATTATCTTCTATTACATAGTGATCGGCCCGACATCCTTCCAATGACATAAACAACAGCGCGCCCTCAACTTACTTTTAAAATATTTCGAAAATATCAAATCTAAAAAATTATAGTCTCACCAAATTCAGAGAAGGACAGCCTTTCCAATGATGTCCTATCTTCCTTGTTGCGCAATTACCAATGCTAAGGGTTTTGCTTTAGTACTCGGTATGCCATACAAAAATTAAAAAGGAAGTATATAGGTACTTAATAATTACAAACATTTAAAAGAAAAAATCATCAATATCGACCTGTTCCTAAAACGTTTCAAGATTTTCAAAACCCTTACTGTTTTGAATATTAACAATCTGTTTAAAAAATGCCTGAATTTTTTCATGTATCTCTTCAAACTATAAAATAAATAACAGTAAGAAAATCAAAAAGAAACTTTTAAGTTCATTCACTACCATAGTTGTAGCAAAGATAACGCAAAAAAATAAGCAGTTAGTGTAATTTTACTCAGTCACCAATAATCAATATATAGCCATATGTGGTCAAAGAAACGTAAAACTGGTTCTAAGAAAACTGGAAACTTACCTTTTCTGAACACCACCACAACACTACCACCAGAAATAAAATTTTTTAAAATTAAAAAAAAAGTATACACAAAATCAAAACCCGTGCTCAGATAAATTTTAAAATACCACTCTGTCAAACGTTCAAGAATGAGGATACTATACAGGCGTTAAAGTTCTAATTAGTATGTGGTCATACGTACTTAAACCTGATTTTTCGGACCTAATTACTTTTACCTTGTAATAAACCCTATTCATCTTCCAGAAATAATAGAAAGGATGTCATTACGATATTTCTCTTATTGTTTCTTTATGAAGTGCAATTTGTGTTATCGGGGTCTTTTCAAATTTACCTTTAATTATAATATTATCTTAATTACTTATCCAAATTTAGTGCCATCTATGAAATGCATTGTTCTATTGTCATTTATACATACTCGTTTTGTCTAAAATAAATTTAATTCATTTCCTTTGTCACCCTTTTCAACTAAAGAAATAAAGAACAATTTTTTATGTGTCTTCATTAAGAAATCTTTATGTAAGGGAGCGTTAAAATTACTTCCTTTTTCTATTTTCATCTTGATCTTAGACTTTAGACTTATCACTTTGTTTGTGTACGGTATTATATGTTGATTCTGTTTTAATATTAAGAGCGAATATTACACATAATATTGTAGATATACTATAAGTATAACTAGGTATAACTATTTGGTAT